TTTCTTTTTTGTAAGATACTTCTTTATTCATTTTATGTACAATCTTCACAACAGAAGACTTCACATCCAAGACAAAACAGTATATAACAAAACCTTGAGTCTCATATTTTCGTTTGTACTGGTTCTCCTCAGATTCCCTTATTTTACTATTCCTTAATATTTGCCTCCTTCTTTTGGTTCCTTATCCTTAATCTCTTAGGTCCCATATATATCTTTAACAATTTTTCATTGAATTTCCTCACCTCCCTCCCCCTAAACCCGTTGCTTCCCTTCACCCATGTGCAATCTTCCTTACATACTGTTGGGGTTTTTTTGTTGCATTAACAGCTGTTTGTAATTGTTGTTCCATATCTGTTTTAATATCATCCTATAACCTTGCACCCTTTAAACTATTGCATATTAATTTTAGGCTCTGAAGCCAACTCTTTTCATGTAATCCTTTATGCATTCCCACTCTTTATAACTTTTTTTTATTAGAACAGCCTCTAATTGATGCTGTTGACTTTGCCATCTCCGCAAATTCACAAATTTTAGCTTGCCATTCTAATAATTCTGGAATTTTGTCTGTTTTCCAAAAAAAATTGCCACTAATATTCTGGCTGCTGCTGTTGCATAAAGGAATACATTCCTTTCATCTTTGGGAATGTCACTAGATATTTAACCTCCAGGAACATTTCTAGGTTACAGAATTACAACAATGCAAATTTCAACATTTTCTGTGACGTGCAACAGTCCTGAGCATGTGGATGCATAAGAATATTAACTATGAATCAGATTCATTGACTCATGCATTGGAATGCATATCTGATCATAGTAGCACTAGTCTTGCTAACATATGTTGCAGCCTGGCATTATCCCCTCATTCAATTTCAGTTGCATGAAGAGGAGAGTTGGGTCCTGCTACACCACTGTAAACCAACCCAACTGTCCATGCTTTTCTATTAGGAATTTTAGGTGCTGACATTCCAAAGGAACAGAAAAGGCTTTTAATGTATGTGACGACAGCCGCACAGATGTTACTAGCCCAGAGATGGAAAGAAGACAAAGTCCCTACCAGAGAAGAATGGCAAATTAAACTGTTGGACTGTGCCAAAATGGCAAAACTGACCAGAAAGTTCAGGAACCAAGAAGACCGAAATCTTAACAAAGAGTGGGGGGAAATTATAATTTATCTTGGAGACCACTGTAAGCAGATGAAAACATTAGCAGGATTGCAACAGCACTGGTAATGTAGCAAATACTATGGAGATAATGGAGTGACTTAAAATATGGACTAATAATATGCAGTTGAAGAGATTGACAATAGGACCCAAGAAGGGGAAGGTGGGAAGTCCAGAGATTCAAAGGAATCTTTAAATATGGATGTGTACGGTTGTATTGTTATAATTCTATACTTGTAAAATCAAATAAAAATTATTATTAAAAAAAAAAGTCAACCAACCCAACTGCCCATGCTGTGATGGGAAGGGAACATGAAGGGGACAACCTTTTCTATTCACATGCATACATTTGGATCCAGATGCAGAATCCTGATCATGTAGGGTTCAATGTCACTGGGCAGAGGTGTGTGGGTACGCATCTAAATAGCATTCTCTAAAGAATGCCCCAGGAGGTAGGGTCTCAGCCCAAGGTGGGTAAAGCTTTTCCCCAAAACACTTGCCCAAGACAACAGCATTCAAGGTGCAGCACAGTCTCAAGAAGTCAAGGTCAAGCACAGAAAGCAAATCTACTGTAGGTCCAAAACATTGTCCAGAAATAATGACAGCAAACAGTCCATCTTAGATGGTTCTAGGGGGTCTTCATTAGGTATCAACCCGTAGGGCTCTCAGCATTGGATTCAGGGTACCCAACTTCTTCTTCTTGATTTGTGTCCTTGATTTGTGGGATGTCTCGTTCATCCTCCAAGGACTCAGTATCTGGCACCAGGTAAGGGCTAGGCATGAGAGTGGAACACATTTCCATATTCACACAATGCATGGGTGTTGCTGGGGTGGGGAATGGGTGAGATGTAATTGTGGGGTCAGGGCAGGGGAGTCAGCTTGAATAAAATATTGGGGGGCAGGTAAACCAACACCCTGTAGAATTGATCACATGATGCTGCACACGCACACACACAAGTGCACACACACACTCTTTGAATGGCAATACCCATCAACTTTGGAGAGGTGGGCAAAGAGACCTCAGCCACTAGGGGGTGGCTCCTATGGGTCAGGAAGCTCTCCTCTGCCACTTGTACAATGTTAATAATTGTGAAAGAGGATAATGCCCTCACAGGACTGTATTTTCTTTGGTCTCCATTTAGATCATATTCACTCGGGTTGCCTGGATTCCACAGCAAGGTTACCTAACTTGAATCTATACATATACAGAAGATTAGAATTGCCATCCCAAAAAGAAGCCATGTGGATTAATGTCTGTTTTATAATACTTAGAAGGGTTGAGAAGGGATCAATGCATAGGTTTCCCCTGGGAACTATTTGACTTTGTCAGCTACCCAGACAGGTCTGAATTTTGCTTGAAGAAGTCTTCTGTGCGTGCATCAGTGGAAGCGATGGTATGTCCTTTTGGGGACTGGGATGTTTATGAACAAATGTATTGATTGGCCTTGGAGGAGCTGTAAGAGATGAGTAATTTTAAAGGCATTTGTTGAATAAAACAGAAGCATTTGCTACCAGCTGTTTGAAATTAGGTATAATGTGAGTCACGAAAAAGTCAGCTTCATTCTCCTCTAGCAACAGTATGTGCATAAAAATGACTTCAACAGAGTCTCCATAGTCAACAAGTGTTTCTGAAACTAGATTGAACAACAACAAAATCAGGTTATATTTTAAGAATCATTAGGCATTATCAGTAGTATGATGTTCTCTGTGGGTTTCCTTCATATATATATTCTCTTAGACTCTTAGGCATGCCTGGCAACGTTATGGAGTATTACTAGATAAACCCCATGAGATCTGATATTTATCTACATAAATGTATGTTATTGTTTCATGTGTAATTCACTTTGAAAACTGCAAACTGAATAATGTCAATATGTTTTGGTAGCATCTTACTGCTTTAGGGAGTATAGATATATATCATGCTAGGGTGTTTGTAGGTTCCTTAAAATATCGAAATGATTTTTCTTGTGTTTAATGTTATTTAGAGCCTGATGCTAGCTATGTTCAGCTATTAAGACATCTAGGTTTCCCTAGGCTTGAGCAAAAGAAGAGTTTAGAAGATTTCCCTTAGCCTTGCTGTTGCCTGAGAATATCCTCACTTTCATTTTCTTCATTTCTGACTCAGAAAGTAAGAGTAGAGAGTTCATAGCAGTGCTATTTTTTTAGAAAAAGAGGTGCAAGAACTCACCATGAATGCCTCCCTTGTTCTCTTAGAATGGCAATGGCGCCCACCTGAGTTCTGGCTGAAAAAATGCCCTGGTTCATATCATCAGGATTCCTCATCAGGATGAGCCAGTGTGGTGTAGTGGTTAAGAGCAGTGGACTCATAATCTGGTGAACTGGGTTCATGTCCCCGCTCCTCCACATGCAGCTGCTGGGTGACCTTGGGCTAGTCACACTTCTCTGAAATATCTCAGCCCCACTCACCTCACAGAGTGTTTGTTGTGGGGGAGGAAGGGAAAGGAGATGGTTAGCCGCTTTGAGACTCCTTAGGGTGGTGATAAAGTGGGATATCAAATCCAGAATCCAAACTCCACCTCAATCCACAATACAAAACAAACCTGCTCAGGCCATTTCAAATGCCAAGTAATATCCCACCCCCTGTTTGAGAGAAACAGGAGGCCATTTCTGGAGAAGATAATCAGAAAAGGACATAAATAGAGCATAGGCAAAGCTGAAGGAAGTCTAGGAGTTAAGCAGAGAGAAAATACACAGCTCCAAAGACACACACAATAGCTTCCAGTATCCCCAGTTCCTAGCCTTGAGCTCAATTTGCATGCTGGTAGGTTCAGAGGTTCAACTGAATAGAATCTGAATCACATGCACCACAAGGCCTATGCAGCCTCAACTAAAGATGGCTCCCCGGCCTGGCTTTGCACTGCAAAATTTGCAGCAGCACGTGCAACAAAATGGCGTCCAGCATTCAAAAACCTCCTCAGCTTGCATTAACTAGCCACACACACGCAGCCTCCCCCCCTCGCCACGAGATCGCCAGTCACCCACCATTTTAGTCAACCAGCTCCTTTCTTTTCCCCCATAAGTCAATCGAAGGAGCCTCCAAAACAAATTCAAAAGCCCCCCTCCCACGAGATCTCCTTTCCTTTTCCCCTACCATGTGCCCCCGCTCCAGACAAACCTTTTCGCCGGCAAGGGTGAGTGGGCCGTCGATGACGTATCCATCCGATTCCGATCCGAGCACTCAACACAGGTATGTTCAACTGCTGAGCCCCTCTGAGCCAAAGGCAGAAAGCCCAGCCAGCAGCCAAACGAAGCCTCAATGAAAACCACCGTCACCTCTCCGCTGGGAAGTGCTGAGCAAAGGCGAGTCCCCAGGCAACGCAGCTGATTTGATCAGCACAAGGCATGCAAGCTCCACACCCCAGTCGTTCTTAGACTTCTTATTGGGTGAGCAACACAGCCAAGCAACACAGTTGGAGCCTCCCTCCTCCCTGGCCGGCAGGGAGGGAGGGAGAGGAGCTGCTTCCTTTGAAATTTAAGGGACATCATTTAAGAGACATTTAAGGGACATCCATCAATAAGGGACAGCAGCGGGACATGGCGCTGGTATAAGGGACTGTCCCTCCAAATAAGGGGCGTTTGACAGCTATGATCTCTCCAGATGGGCATTTAGGAATGATATGCAGGTATACTAACAACAGCAATAGATATATACTACAGATACACTAACAACAGCAATAGAAAATATTCATATAGCACTTCCTGGTGTTGAAATATAATTTGCTGCCTTTCCTCTCAAGGCGAGAAGTGAAAATAAGACGACTGCTTGCATTTGTTTGTTTGTTTATAAAAATGATTTCTATGTGTACTCATCTAACCTTTGCCTGACACGCAGCTGCTCTTTTATGGTGTTTGTTAAAATTTCAACGGCCCTGACAGCTTATCAATAAAAATCATCCAATCATTTATACCTCTTTGCATCCTGAATGCAAATATCTAACAAAGAGCATATGTGTGCTATTTACTCTTTTGTTGTTGTTTTGTTCTGTTGTTGTTTTTCCTCCCTCTCACTTTTCCTTCTCCCCCCACCCAGTATTGCTTTATTTCTTTTAATTGAAATCACCTTAATAAAATATAAACATTTAAATGTGTGCTGCTTACTTGGTTTTCTATATCAGCATATACCAGACATCAGGAAAAAGATTCTAATCACAGCACATTCCGTTATAGATCATTATTCCTAAATGCTTGCAGGAAGTGATGAAATGAGAATTTCTTTCAGAATAATCCATTGCCCTCGCTCATTAACCCTATTTAGTCATTTCCCCCCTCGTGTGATAAAGGTGGAAGAATATGGACTTGCAAGGTAGCAGCTCCCTGCTCGTCACATCCCTGCCACCAGCCCTGCCAGGCTCCCCAGTTTGAAGAACACACTGTCACACTGGGCAATCCTGCTCACAACTGATAGAATGGATCAGGACTTCCAGTTGCACAAGCCCCAAAATCTTGAGCAGGTTTTTTAAAAAATTGGAATTATTCACTGACTGGATGATTTATTTATTTTTAAAGGTAGCCCAGGGTCTGTCAAAATGGCCGTTCCTATGAAAGATAATTGGTGGTACAGGAACAGGACAAATCATGGGGTGTGGGAGAACTTAAGCAGTAACAGGCTACCTCAAGCCCAGGGGCTGAATCTGACCTTCTAGACTCATACCCTCCAACATTTCTTTGATAACAATAGGGATGCCCTATATACTACTACTAATAATAGTAACAACAGTGATAATAATTTAATTTAATTAATTTAATTTATTGCAGTCGTACCATGGTTCTCAAAGATAATCCATTCCAGAAATCCGTTCAACTTCTGAAAACATTCGAAAACCAAGGCACGGCTTCCGATTGGCTGCAGGAGCTTCCTGCACTCAATCGGAAGCCAAAACATATAAGTACCAAGGCATTTGAGAACCAAGGTACAACTGTTTTTTTAATTTATTTTTTATACCCCGCCCATCTGACTGGGTTGCCCCAGCCACTCTGGGCGGCTCCCAACAGAATATTAAAAACATGATAAAGCATCAAACATTAAAAACTTCCCTATACAAGGCTGCCTTCAGGTGTCTTCTAAAGGTTGTATCGTTACTTATTTCCTTGGCTTGGGCGGGTCGCATAACCCCATACCCTCCAACATTTCTCCAATCAAAATAGGGACGTCCTAAGGAAAAGTGGGACATTCTGGGATCAAATCAGAAACAGGGACAGCTTCTATAAATCCGGGTTGTCCCTGGAAAATAGGGACACTTGGAAGGTCTGCTATTTGACTTGCAGGATTCTCCTGAGGATATGCATCCTTCGCAGTTCACATCCATCATTGGCCTTCTCCATGTCCTCATCAAACGTTTTTGCAATGTGTCCTTGAACTGTGACAATGGATTCCCCACTTCTGATTTAAATGGAAACATCGAACGTTATCACAAGCTCACTCTGTACTTGGATTGGCCTTGCAGAAATCATTTCTCTTTCATACTGGACAGCCCTGAAACAGTTAGGGGGGAAGAAAATCCTCAGATGAGATCCGGTGCTTTAAATGAACAATAACAAATAAACAACCTTAGAACTGTAAGCATCATGTAATGCCCTGACAAGAAGAAGCCACTTAAATTTATCTCAAAATCCTTGCCTTGCCTGAGGACCTCCATTTTGCTGTTGAAGAGCCTGTTAACATGCTTGCTCATAAGCCAGCCCTCGGAGGTTAAACACAAGAAGCTTTCATAGTTTGCTTTCTGTGAAATAAGTCAAGATCTAATTTATGGGGTAGAATTTATGTGGAAACAAAGGAGAAGACGAATTAGATCGAGAATCCATCTTGGTGGAAATTTATGAGGTTCACAATTCACCCTGGAGGTGGTGGAATGTGAAGTCACACGAGCCAGAGCCAGAGTAATGGCAGAAGACAAGGGATTCAGATACAGTGGTATCGTGGTTCTTAAACTTAATCCATTCCAGAAGTCCATTCCAAAAGCAAAGCGTTCCAAAACCAAGGTGCGCTTTCCCATAGAAAGTAATGCAAAACAAACAACACCTAAAGCAGTAATTTAACACGAATTTTACTATCTAAGGAGACCATACCATTGATCCATAAAATGAAAGCAATAATCAATGTAATGTACCATAAAATAAATAAGACAGTATTGTAGATGATAAGGGATGTGGGTGGCACTGTGATCTAAACCACAGAGCCTAGGGCTTACCGAATGGAAGGTCGGCAGTTTGAATCCTGCGATGGGGGTGAGTTCCTGTTGTTCGGTCCCAGCTCCTGCCCACCTAGCAGTTCAAAAGCACGTCAAGTGCAAGTAGATAAATAGGTACCACTCCAGCAGGAAGGTAAATGGTGTTTCCGTGCGCTGCTCTGGTTTCACCAGAAGCAGCTTAGTCATGCTGGCCACATCACCCGGAAGCTGTACGCTGACTCCCTCGGCCAATAAAGCGAGATGAGCGCCGCAACCCCAGAGTAGGTCACGACTGGACCTAATGGTCAGGGGTCCTTTACCTTTACCTTTTAAGTCTGCTGGAAACTAACCTGTTCTAAATACTTGTATACATCTTAAGCCCCTTTTACCAAAGATGAGATAAGCTTGCCCTCTCCTTTTCTCCAGCCTGCTGGTATCCATTGCTCTTTGAATTATATGTAGTGTCAGGATGTTTAAAGCTGAACGCAAGGTAATTGTTTATGCTCTACTTCTTTTTCTCTCTGAGGTAACTATATCAGACTTATTGCGCTCAATCCATTACACCACCTTTCAAGGTATATAAATCTGAAAACTTGGCTGCAACTTGTGCAGCTCGTTACAATATTTTACGCTGAATGGGATCAAATTAATTTGTGGTGGCAACTCAAAGCAATTATTTTTTCCAGAATATATTGTTCCCTAAGGATTTAGAGTCCACAGAGAAAATCAGTATGCAAGCTAATATTCCCAATTATTAGTAAATTGATATTCTTAACATTTTACCCTTGCAGAAATATAATGGAAATGAACATTTTCCCATGGTGCATTTATAAAGGGTCTTGGGAGGATTAACATGCTGCAGTTTAATTTCTTTAAAAACAGTAAAATATTCCAATAGTAAGAAAGACTGGGCTACAAACCAATTTACAGATGTCTATGGGGCAATTGAGAGTTTCCAGTTCAAATAATCATATATCTGTGTAGGCTGTGCTTCTTTCTGGATTGAAAACAAGTGCATTCAGATCACCAGCCTTGACACATTCATCCAGGCAACAATCCCACGCACATCCCCCAGTGAGTAAGTCCCACTGAATGCAAGTAAAAGTGCTTAGGACTGTGATATTGATCTCACATTTGTCTCCCACTATCCCTGTACTAATTACAGTGTCTTTTATATACTGTCAGGGACCGTGCTGAGGAGGGCTGCACTGAAGAAGAATGGTTGGAGCCCCCCTCCCCCCGATCCTGGATCTTCCCAAGAGCAGGAGGATAGTGTAGATTTGGAACAGTGGTTTGCAGATGGGCATAGTTCAGAAGGCAGAAGCTGGGAAATAATGGATGGGGAACAGCTAGAAGAAGAAGAAACACTGGGAGAGGGAGGGTTAACAGATTCACAATCATTGGACAGCATTCCTCTACCACCCTCCCCAAGGTCGAGAAGAGCTCAGAAAGTCTCTGGGGAAAAAGCGCAGAGGGTACAAGCTCAGTTTACAAGACGTAGGAGTGATATAGATTAATAGGGATGGAGAGGGGGAGTGAACCTTAATTGGGAGCACCACCATTTCTAGGGAGACGTGGTCTTTTGTCTCTCACTGTGATTATTAAAGACTCTAACTGGTAAGACTTCCTTTCGTTTGATCTTATTTACAGCCATGGGGAAGGAAGCTGATCCCCCAAAGCCTGACATATACATAAGCTTCTTCATATTGCATTTTCCAACTTGGTTTTAAAAATTTTCCTAAATTTTGGGTGATATCCAATGCCACACAGACAAACTTCTCCACAGGCAATGGGACTTTGCTTCATCTCCTCTGCCCTGAATATCCCCACCTCCACCCACAAAAATTCTCCCCTAGAAGGTCTCCCAACCTTCTGACAAATGGACACCATTAAATGGACTTATCTGTCAGTTTTGGTTCTCTCAGTGTCTTAATTTTCCCAATCTTAAATTCTCCCTACTTCCACAGCAATTTCTTCATGAAAATTCATCACTTTTGTAGGGCAAATTTCCTAATATACGCAGTTTCCCATTTTATATGCAGTTGTGACTAATCTAATGTTCATATTTTCACAAGCAATTTTCTCTAACAGAATGAATATGTCTATGTTGTTTTATTTAATGAATATTCATGACTTAGTATGCAATTTTCTCTAATGGATGCATTTTTGCGAAACATTTTATTCTAATACACATCATTGTATGTTATTTCATCCCTATATCCATTTCTACACATGCTCTATTAAAAGCACTCTGGAACACATTACTTGAATGGAAATCATCATTGCAAAATTCAGAGAAGTGCAAATTTTGAGGGTTATCTGTGTTTTAGTTGACATATTGTTTTGGAAAGTGTGAATTACCGTATTTTTTGCTCTATAAGACTCACTTTTCCCCTCCTAAAAAGTGAGGGGGGATGTGTGTGTGTCTTATGGAGTGAATGCAGGCTGCACAGCTATCCCAGAAGACAGAACAGCAAGAGGGATTGTTTCTTTCACTGCACAATGATCCCTCTTGCTGTTCTGGCTTCTGGGATTCAGAATATTTTTTTTCTTGTTTTCCTCCTCCAAAAACTAGGTGCGTCTTGTGGTCTGGTGCGTCTTATAGAGCGAAAAATACGGGTAGGTAGATATGCCTTTAAATGTGGACTGAATTGAATTTCTCCCAAGCATTTCATCACCGGCATTTTAGACTGTGGTGTCTCTCAATCCTAAGTCCTACAGCTGAAGCAGGCATCTTCTTCATGCAAAGCAGACGCTCTGGGCCACAGTCATTCCCCTGATATACAATTAAAGTACAACTTTTTTCAAAAATGCATTCTTCAGATTGCAAATTGCAAGGCATAACTGAAGCTGGCGATTCAACCATACCCCTTCTTTTCGCAAGTAAATGCTCTGGTGAGCTCCGATTGTTCAAACTGCCCATTTTGTTTCTACCTGCATGCAATTATTAGAGTTTTCTTGGTTTCTACACTGCATTGAGCTGTTCAATAGTGGTATACATTTTGTGTGACAGAATGTCGTTTCAAGGAGGGCAGTCAGCTTAATTCCATTATTTGCATTCTATTTGCCTTTTTGCATCTGATTAGACTAGAAGGAAAAGCAGAAGAATAACGATCTTATCAGGTGTATGTGCCTGTAAATGTGTACATGCAGGTGAATATATTACAGGAAGGAAGAGAAGGAGAAAAAGAGGAATGGTGAGGATTAAGAGTTACTCTTTCAACTACTGTGAGTTTCTGATTTCTTAATAATAAGGAGAAACAGGTAGGGCCTACAACAAAGTGTTTCATTGTGAAAAGCTCCCTTTACAGGTTCCAGCCACATTCCTTTTTTTTATTTTTGATAATAATTTTTATTAGTTTTCAATTACAACAATCCAATAACAGTCTCATTATAACAATGCCAAATTATCATACAATTAATAATACTAATCACTGAAATGTCAAATTATACAATTTAGGTGCCCCCATGTGCTAGAATGAATGGTTTGATGCATTCCAAAGTCTTATAAATTCCAATTATGCTCCAGTCTAGGTAAAGGTAAAGGGACCCCTGACCATTAGGTCCAGTCGTGGCCGACTCTGGGGTTGTGGCGTCATCTAGCTTTATTGGCCGAGGGAGCCGGCGTACAGCTTCCTGGTCATGTGGCCAGCATGACTAAGCCACTTCTGGCGAACCAGAGCCGCGCACGGAAACGGTGTTTACCTTCCCGCCAGAGCGGTACCTATTTATCTACTTGCACTTTGACGTGCTTTCGAACTGCTAGGTTGGCAGGAGCAGGGACCGAGCAACAGGAGCTCTACCCGTTGCGGGGATTCGAACCACTGACCTTCTGATCGGCAAGTCCTAGGCTCTGTGGTTTAACCCACAGCCCCTTATATCGCAGCTGCAATTTTAACAACTTCCATTCATATTGACACATTGAATAGGGTTCCAGCCACTTTCATTCCATTCCCTGTCTCTCCAGGTTTTTGATATCTCCTCACAACCATAAAACAACAATTATGAAGTACATGTTTTTTTTCCTGCCCTAGGCCATTTATTTTGTGGCGGGGCCTTGCTCCTTTCAAATTGGTAGTACAGCTACAATGCAATGCTATCAAGGACAAGGGTTCCTTTGTATGCAGAATTTACTGAGTGCATTAGTCTCCCAAGATTTGCTGCACCAGCAAATATGTGCTTAGAATGGAGCAGTTCAACGGCAGCACAACATCTCTGAACAGGACATTACATTAGTATTGCACTGTGTCTGACAGCATTGCAGGCTGATCTTCAGGCACAACTGTTTTAAGAACATGGTGTAAATCTTTTCAAAGGACTTGTTTACCATGATAACACTGAAGTACTGAGAATTCTTTGTTACAATGTGCTGGCTTTTTGTATGTGACAAAGAATGTTAATTTAAATTTTAAAAGAATCACGGGAACGGTAGTTTGTTAAGGGGTACTATGTGGTGTGACCTACAGTTCCCAGAATCCTTTGTGGGTATGGGTGTGCTTTTAATGTGCTTTAAATGGTGTGTGCATAGCCTCAGAGTTTTCAGAAAATTAAAATAGAATAACATACTTTTAAAGAAACAACCCACCCTGCTACAAATCAGACCACAGTAGTATAAAATGTCAGTATAAATAGGCTAAAAAATACTCCAAAGCAGGGGTAAATTAAGAAAACAGGGATGGCAACTTCCTTGAGGAACAAATTCCAGAACTTTCCAAAACTAAAATGGTCTGTCTTCAGTCACAACCCACCTTACCTCAGAAGATGGTGGGACTCAGAATACGCTTCCTGATATTATTAAAATAGCAATGATAAATCCTATTATTTGTCTTGTATATTCCATGAACAGAATTCTTACAATGAGCTTCTTCTCCTCCCCCCACTGCACCCCAGGCACACTAGGAGTAATAGATGATTTGTTTTCCTAGACATGACTGACACTAACACACAGCATACTGGGAAACCAGCATCAAGCAGCCATCACAGGCCACACAACTGCCCACCACTCGCACCAACTCCAGCCATTATATAGTGGCAGCCAGTGCTATTTTTCTAGAAAAAGTTTTGGAGCTCACACTTTCTCTCTTAGAATGGCAGTGGCACTCACCTGAGAGGTACCAGAACTGAGCTCCAGTGAGCTCCGGCTGAAAAAAACTCTGGTGGCAACTAATGGGGAGTATGAAAGAACAACCCAGGAGAGACTGGACAACTCTGGGCCAGACAACCAAACTCAATACAGATATATTTTAATTATGCTACAGGGTGAACCCAGTCCTGATATGTACATGCCAGAGATAAGTCCAGCATAATAATCAATGGGATGGAATCAGATCATTTTTAACAAAATGGGAGGGGGTATCCAAAAGGATTTGTCCAAGAGGTGGTCAGGGCGATCTCCCTCTTGTATACCTGCTGGGATTGACAAGGCATCTGACCCTCATCTGAATCTCATACCTCTCCTGACAAATACTTTGGTCTGCAGCCACAGTGTGGAAATAAAGGATGATATTGCCCACCAGATACCAGGCACTCTATTATTCAATTTAGGCCCCAGTGTTTTTCTTACAATTCCCTTCTCAATTAAGCAATCAATTTTAATCTAGAATTTAAATTCTCAAAACTTTCTTATTTGTTAATTCGAGCAAGTAAACTACTGCTCTCACATCATTACAAACAGTATTTTGACCTGCAACACACTTGAGCAAACCTGCTCCTCTTCCTTTCACAGATATTTTGTTGCCATTTGTTGTACAGAAACAAGATGGGGTGCAGGCCTGGCCAGGACATAGGCGTGACATACCTGTGACAAAGGTGACCTGTGTGCTTGCTTGCTTGCTTGCTTGCTTGATTAACAGCTGTTGGGAACTTCAGTGTCCCTGCTCTCCCTTCTTATGGTCTTTGTACTGGATCTGGAGACTCCAATAGAGAGCATTCCATGTCAAGAAGGAGGGCAAGTGGGCAGCCTATCAAATGACAAAGCAGGAGCTACATGGAGCAGGGCATTTTCACTGGTGGTGCCCATTGTATGCCCTGCTCTTTCCAGACCTGCTCTCTTTCAGCCTGTATTTTGGAGCTTTATAATTTAGGGAGACTTTGGAAGAGCTGGTTGACAAGTCTTATCAGTCTCTGACGTATGAGCAGATTTTATTTGCTGCTGTTCTGAGCTTCTGGGGCACCAGGGTTTACACCAGTGTAATAGAGTTGGCCAGGATGTCAGAAGGGATACAATTTATGAGCTTTCTCCATTATCTGCACTGCAGGGGGTGTTCAGTCAACAGTGCAAAGGCTGAGCTGAAGTGTTCCCTGCTGGTTACCTGCTTTCAGCAATAGGGGTCGCTGTTTGGTAGTACCCAGTTGGTTAGTTGTCAGATTCTAGAGCTCCCTATTGGTGGCTCTTAGGTAATTCACAAAATACAGAATCCAGTCATAAAACACAACGTTCATTCATAAAGCAGTAACATAAATCTCCATTGCTACATATTGGGTGTATATTTCAGCGGTTGAACGTACAGGTTTATGGCCATGCTGTAGTGTAGTGCTTATGTGACTGTGAATAAAAGGTGGCTGGGCTCATAGTCTCAGGCGGTTTGTGGGGGGAGGTGACAAAACTGATTTCCAATAAGTGCTCCCCTCTTTATTTCCATAACAAGTCCTTGAGTCTGTACTCTGAATAGTGACACCAGGGACCTAGAAGGTGCAGGGTTTGTGAGTCCAACTCCTGCACAGTCTCATCAAGGCTGACCTTAAGGCAATTGGAGCAATTTGGCCAAATTGGGCCCCGTGTGCCGTTCCTAAGGGCCCCCCCGCACCAGGGCAATCTAGATGGATTTTATTTATATCTATAAGATTTTGCAGACTTTGGTTGTGAACAACAACAACAAAAAAATCAAGTTGTGCCCCACTGCTTCAAATTGGGCCCCACTGGCTAGCCCAGAGTCTCATGAAGTCTTGGGTTTGCAATTTTGGAGGAGGGGAGCTTGCCTGCTGGGGAGTGGGCAGGCTGGCGAGGCCCTCTAGATTTAGAGACATTAGCTTCAGCCTACTTAGCCTATACATAAATCCAGCACTGCCAAGAGGTGAAACAGGAAGGTGTTGCTGTCTCCCTCCCACCCCACTGAAGCCTCACTCACTAGGGTCATGAGGCTGTAGTGGCTTCCAATGAGATCTTGCAAGATTTTGCTGAAAGCCGCTGCCATGGTGCAACCCCAGTGGCAGGGATGGGGCAAATGTGGTGGTGCTGCCCCATGGAATTCTGCTGCCTGATGTGGCTGCTTCAGTCTGCCTCATGAGTGGGTCAGTCCTGGGAAGAGGATTGGGCAAATTCATGAAGAATAAGATTATTAATGACTACGAGTCACTTTAAAACAAATAAGACATATAATCATACCTTGATATCTCATATTACTTAAATGTTAAAGTAACCCAGAGCTACTAGATTATCATTGTTTTTATTAAGATCAGTTACATAGGTGTTTTCCCTCTCCCTTTGTGTACAGAAGGAAACTGAATACCATCTTCCCCCTCTCTTTGTTGCAGCCAATTGCATTTTTCTCCATACTTTAGTGAGAAAATTAAAAACTCATGAAGGGAATGTTAAAATACTCCAGGAAATGAGTTAATTTGTCTGGAGCATATATGCAGTCCTGAGGATGAACAATTGGGGGCATTTGTACCCCCTAAAGAATCAGCAGTTTATATGTAGCTGTAATTCTTCAGTGGAAGATATTAAAACCTGCATCACACACAGGAAATATGAACCTTTATTGATGCTCCCACAAAACAGGTATGCAACCACAGAAGTCTCACCAGAACTATAATTTGAATTCTGGGAATCTAGCATAAAAGCCTAGTAATGTGTTCAGTATTGCTCATAGGTTTCCATTTTTATAAAAGGATTGTCTTTAATTCACCCAGCGTTGGTAGAGTTTCGGCTTATGGCTGGCACGTGTGGCTCAGTTTGTAGACTACTACTTGTGTGTAGCGGGGGGGGGGGGATTGTCAGTAGATGCAAATGAATTGTTCCTCATCATAACTTGGGATCTGTCTAGGAACAGATTCCAATTGCATTTTTTTTTTTTTTAAGAACAAGTGCAACGCTATATTTAAAAGTTTGTCATTTTTGTGCTGATATGCATTACTGGCTCATCTATAAGCAATACTCTTTTTATTCCTCTTTCTGTACAGATAGCCTGCTTTTGCCCCACGGCTTCTAATAGGGTTGGGCACAAAAGACTTCTAAAAATTATCCACCCCATTTGTGGGAAGAGAAACTGAATTTTACCAACTCTCTACAGGGAGAGGAGACATTCACCAACTATGGTTTCTCACCATTAGCAATGGTATTTGCCAATCTTTCTCTCTCTTTTTTTATTATTTTGCTTCCACTGCAGTGTCCTTCACAATGCTCCAAACCTACATTTGTTCTAGGACATTGGGGCAGAGGGCGGAAATGGCAGGTGTCACAAAAAAAGAATGTTGGTGAAAATTGTGGTCTTTTTTTCATGTCTCAGCTCTAAATTCCACACCTTGGAAAGTGCAAGATTCCCCCAAGCCGTTAACATTGGACCCTGTTTTATGTGCATGGATTCCTTGAATCCCTATTTCATTTATTTTATATGTTTTCATTATACTGTTGCTTTATTTACTTTAGGCTGTATTTTTGTTTTAATGGATTTTTAAAATATTGTACATAGTGTAGACCACTTAGAGAATTATTATTTTTTTGAAAGTGGTTTAAAAATGCTTTAAAGTATTTAAATAAATAACTAATATCCATGGACTTGGATCCTAAGATAAATTAGCTTAAGAAAGTTCCCAGAGTGAAAGGTTACCTCCTCCTGCTTCCTGCACATACCTGCAACCCTCGAAAGCTGCTCTGGAAAGTCTCAAACAACATGGAAAGAAAGGGTCATTGCAGACTGCTGGGGGAGGCAAGAATCATCCAAAATTGAATCGTCTTCCGCCCCATATTGTCCAGGAAGGTCCTCAAACTTCTGGAGTGTCTTGGGGGTGGGAAAATGGCTGCAGGGAGAAGAGGGGGCAATATCTTTTCCTCTTGCGGATTTCCTTAAATTTATCTTAGATCTGAGCCCTGGTGACTTGGGTCCTCATGTTGCAAAAGATTGCCACCATTTACAATGTATCCAGCTCTAGAAGTATGGCAGCTGCAATCCCATCATTGTATCCTAACCCCCCCGCCCCCTGTAGACACATAAATTTGCTGAATTGTAGCCCTGGGTTCAAATCCTACTTCCACTGTGGATTCAATGCATGATAGGAGAGCGGGTGGTCTAAACCACTGAGCCTCTTGGGCTTGCCTATGGGATAGACCATTCTTCTTAGTCTCATACGTACAGTGGAAATGTTAATGACCTATCTCTCCCGTTTGTTGTGAAGGCGGGAAATGCAAGCACTGTCCAGGACATCTTCAAGTATACAAATGTATGTGTAATGAGGAAGGCTGGGGTGAGATCTTGTACCTAGCCCTGGAAAATGAAACATCCAGGGTCCAATTTTCTTAGGGGTCATTTTTACAAGAGATAAATCGCAGATAAAGGCAAGGGATCCCTGAACGTTAGGTCCAGTTGTGGATGACTTTGGGGTTGTGGCGCTAAACTTGCTTTATTGGCTGAGGGAGCCGGCGTACAGCTTCTGGGTCATGTGGCCAGCATGACTAAGCCACTTCTGGCGAACCAGAGCAGCGCATGGAAACGCCGTTCATCTTCCCACCAGAGGGGTACCTATTTATCTACTTGCACTTTGACATAATTTTGAACTGATAGGTGGGCAGGAGCTGGGACCAAACAACAGGAGCTCACCCTGTCGCAGGGATTCAAACCACCGACCTTCTGATCAGCAAGCCCTAGGCTCAGTGGTTTAACCCACAGTGCCACCCGCGTCCCATTTAAATTACAGATAGGGAATGCTATAAACATTCATGTGTATACCTCAGTGCAAATGGGAGTGTGAATGCGATCGGGTCACAAAGTCAGATCCGTGGCTGAGATTACCATCCCTCTCCATTCATTTGTACCCTCAGTAATCACAAACACAAAGCTGTAAAGTCTTTGAATTTATACTAGCAGTTGCAAAAAAAAAAGCTAGTTCTGTGTAATTCAGCAGCAAAGATGATTTACTGGAACACTGTGACACACAGTCAAAACTGGAGAAAAATGCATATAACTTTCTCTTCCCTAACCTTGAAAACACACTTCTTGCGGGTTTCCACACGTCTGGTTTCAAAATGGGATCCTGTAATGTTACCGTTCACCTCAGTGAGTCGATGGGGCAAAGCTGAGAAGTTGCAGCCATTCTAATGAATTGAAGTGTGCAATCATTCCAATGTTTCTGTAGCCTGTGCATATTTTATAACCGAATGTAGTTGCTCTGCCATTTTCAGAAATGTATTTCTTTGAACACTGGGTTCAGTTCATTGAACAGGAGCTAATCAAATAAGTAACAGATTTTCACTTCATAGAGATTAGAAGAAAATGGAAGCTCCCCCCCCCAACACCTTTCTTCTCTCCAAAGCAGTTTTCGCCTTCCAAAAGTGTGGGCTGTGTCTCCCCAAAATGGGTAGACTTTTAGAAAACATACTTGAATGCGTTTTTCCCACGGAGAGAGGAGAGGGGAATCTGTAATGCATTTCATTTCAGCCATAAACAGGCCTTCAGGATTAGGTAGAATGCTTCTGAGTTTTATCAACCTCATTTCGATGTTTCAGTTCTTACTTTATAAAACAGCATGCTGTTTTAATGACATTTTGCTAAAGTTTCAGAAACTGCTGACTGACACCACTTTCTGAGATTTGTGTCCCTTCCTACGGCCAGTACAGCTGCTACAGGTATGTGCAAAACAGTTTTGATACAAGAGCCAGGGGCACTCAGAAATCTTTTCTTTTTTTCTTTTTTCTTTTTTTAATTTTTATTGATATAGCAAGAAAAAAGAAAAAAAACCACAAATACCAAATTACACACAGGAATAACCATAGACACATAATTTTCTTAACAAACAATAAAACATATATTGGTCTTAACACTAAAGACCCAATGTTAAGTTGTGGGTGAACATATCAGATGACACAGCGATTCTTCAAACAGCTCTTGTTTATTCAGAGGCCGGAACAGAACTGAGCTGAAGGGCTCAGTCAACCTGCTTATATACAGCTCCAGTACAACGTTACTGTAGCAACTTTCTAAAACTATCCAATCACTGAACGTCACTTTTGATCCTTCATTTGCATAACTATCTACAGTATCCCCCTGCTGGCCCAGGGTGAGAACTTCAGTACATAACACCCAACCTCCCGTCTATTCCATATTTCGATTTCATATTACTTATCAGGGGCACTCAGAATTCAATTGGCACCAAATGCTGCCTTTGAGTACGATTGGTGACATCAAGGTTGGACACAGGGTTGGAAGGAGATGCCCCTTCCCAGGTGAGAACAGTAGCAGTGTGATAAGCCACAGCAACTCAAACTGATGGTCATTTAGAGTTATGGATTATACCTGCCCATGGAAGATCTGAATTGATGTAAGTGTACAAGGGGGGAGGTCAGTGTGGCGTTTGCCCATTCTTTTTAAAATGTCTGTACAGGGGGAGAGAAAGAGTTAATAGGTAGACCAGTAGAAAAGCCAGAGGCGGAGCCAACCTGTTTATAAAAGGGCTTAGCCCGAGTTTTGGGTTGGTAGTTGGTTGGTTGGTTAGTTGGGAAAAGGCAGTTGGGAAAGCAGTTGGCAGACGGTTGGAATTAGACAGTTAGTGCAGTTGGTTCTTGTGTGAGGGGAGGTAGAAGAGTTAGGGACAGAATAAAATAAGACTAAAAAGGTAAACAATAACAATGTTTTGAATGCAGTTCAAGTTTATTTGTGTTTGCAATAAACTACACTCTTCGTTGTTAACTTAAGAACCTGATGGGTCAATAGTCCGTGAGACGACCGGGGGCTCCATACGAACGCCACAGTCAGGAGCATTGAAAATGGAAACTACAGGCTTGGGTGGTTGTATTGTCATGGGACAATAGAAAGTTGGCTTTTACCAGGTCACACTATTTGTTCATCTGGCCTAGAACCATCTGCACTGATAGGCTGCAGCTCTCCAGGATCATTGGCAAAGGTCTTTCCCATCATAGAACCGTAGAGTTGTAGAGTTGGAAGGAACCCCAAGGGTTCTCTAGTCCAGCCTCCTGCAATGCAGGATTCTCAGCTAAAGCATCCATGACGGATGGCCATCCAACATCTGCTCAAAAACCTCCAAAGAAGGAGAGTCCACAACCTCCTAAGGGAGAATGTTCCACTGTCAAACAGTTCTTATTGTCAGACTGTTTCCCCATACGTTTAGTTGGAATCTCCTGTCCTATAACTTGAAGCCATTGGTTTGAGCCCTATCCTCCAGAGAAGGAGAAAACAAGCTTCTTCCATCTTCCATGTGATGGCTTTTGAGATATTTGAAGATGGCTATCATATCTCCCCTCAGTCTCCTCTTATCCAGGCCAAAAATACCCAGCTCATTCAACTGTTCCTCATAAAGCTTGGCTTCTAGACCCTTGATAATCTTTGTTGCCCTCCTTCCTAAATTCTGGTGGCCAGAATTGGACATTGTGTTCCAGGTGTGGTCAGGACAAGGCAGAATGAAATGGTACCATTACTTCCCTTGATCTGGAAACTCTACTTCTGTTGATCCCCTGATACAACCCCTAATCATTTTAACTGGAGATGGCACGGAAAAAACCTGGGCCTTACTGCACACAAAATGCCTGTTCTGCCACTGAGCTGTGATCCCTCCCCTTTGACTTATCTGGAATAAATAGGACCCAGCTGGATGACAGAGTTCAAATGGGGACCAGTGCTCTAAGTTTACCCTAAGCCAATGTTTGGAATGAACTAATTTAGCAAAATGAACTTCACTGAACTAGTTCGCTAGTAGATGTGGAAGTCGTTCCAATAATCATTGGGTGAACTAAAGGTGAATTAAGTACAAATGTAAGTCAATCAGGCATTTATAAAGTTTGAAAACAAAACACAGAGACAACAATCTATGGCTCATTGTTCAGCTGCAGAGGTGCTGCTTTTAGTAAGGCTGCTTAGCCACTTAATCACTGTTGCTAAGCTATCAGAGGGATAGAATGAGACATTTCCTGCATCTTCCCTGCTGAAAAGATTTGCATTCTTCCATCGGAACAGTTTTCAGAGAGAACCAGAGGGACAGGACTAAAGTCAATGACACCTTGTGCCTTTAAGAGCTATGTGGCAGGCAGAAAATAGACAGGGCAAGCCTTTTCTAGTAAAAATGCAATTATGGGGAAAGCTTCACTTGATGACATCCTGTCTTCTAGACATCTTATTACTTGTGTGTGAGCCCTCTGATTTACTTCAGCACAGCAGTTTGTAACATGATGAACTTTTTATGAATGAAAAAGTTCCTTTGGATGAACTTGGGCTGAACTAGTTCGTTTAGCAAAAGTACAAAATTTAATTGGAACTAGTTCCTTTTGGTATGAGATGAACCTGAACTAGTTCTGTTTTAAAAATAAACCTTCCAAGCACTGCCCCAAGTCACCAAGGCATTTATAGAAAGTGGGAAATAATGTAAAAATTAACATTTAAATGGAAATTCCGTAATATCGCTCTAAATAGAAATATAGCCAGAATTGCATTTGAACACTGTAAAAGGAATGTATTGTGCAGCATTCAGGATCTGGGAGTTGGGTAGAATTTTCAGTAAGACACACACACTCAAAAGACGACAAGACATTTCATGACACTGTTTCTCTGTGGCTCGCCAGCTTATTTTCTGCGTACCCTGCTGGATGGAGAGGAGTTCATAAAACAAACACAAGCAACACATATCCAGCAGATAATGAGCTAAAGTAGAAGTTGTTTGATGATGTGCAACTCAATCTGCCATGAGCATCTTCTGTGCAAGCTCAGAGATACCTTTCCATTGATATTTAGATTAATAGGGCTTGTGCGGGAATTGTTTTGGGTGGATTCTATGCATATAGCACCATCACGTTGAACCAAATAACCTGGAAGAAAATGTCATCTCCTTTATTATTATTTTTATCGCTACTCTGTAAATGTTGATTCTACAGGGCAGTTTTAATAATCATCTGCTATCATCGTCTCTGATTTTTTTAATTTAATTTTATTTTTTGCCCATGCAATCTTACAGTTAAGGAATATTGTATAGAAAACCAAATGCCAATTCTTTTGTAACCAAAATATAGCATGCTTCCTTTATGTGATCTTAGCTTTGGTGTTTACTAGCTGCCCAGAGTAGGGATGAGGGTGGCGCTGTGGGTTAAAACACTGTGCCGCTTGGGCTTGCTGATCAGAAGGTTGGCGGTTCAAATCCCCATGATGGGGTGAGCTCCCATTGTTGGATCCCAGCTCCTGCCAAGCTAGCAGTTAGAAAGCACACAGTGCAAGTAGATAAATAGGTATCGCTCCGGCGGAAGGGTAAACGGCGTTTCCGTGCACTGCTCTGGTTTTGCCAGAAGTGGCTTAGTCATGCTGGCCACATGACCCAGAAAAACTGTCTGCGGAAGTGGACAAACACTGACTCCCTTGGCCTGTAAAGCGAGATAAGCTCCGCAACCCCAGAGTCGTTCGTGACTGGACTTAATTGTCAGGGGTCCCTTTACCTTCACCTTCACCTAGCTGCCCAGGGTAGCATAAGCAAAGGAAAAGGGGTGGGGTGGGGAATTTAACTCACGGCAGTAGAAATTCTTTCAGAAACCTGCACTTCAGACAGGGTGAATTACAGAGCTAATATTAATATGGTTTTCCTCATTACAGTCATGAGGATGTGAGATTATAGAGAGCACCTACTCTAAGTAGCAATTGGGGTTGAGCAGTGAGGTGGTCAGGTTTGCTGATGACAGCCAAATATTCACAGTGATAAAAATGAAAAAACTATTCTGAGAAGCTCCAAAAGAATCTCCCCAAATGGTGTGACAATGCTTTAAAACAGCAACTACATTTCAATGTAAGTAAATGCAAAATAGTACACATGGAGAATCTTAACATTACATCTGCACTGATGGGGCTTGAATTGGACAGGAAAGAGACCTTGGGATAGTGACGGATCCCTCAAAGAAGACATTGAACCAATGTGCAGCAGCTATGAAAATGGCAAATTTTGTGCTAGGGATAATTAGGAAGGGGACTGAAAAGAAATCTGGGATTTGCTACTGTATCTCTGCTTTGACTCAGTGAACCCCTTCACATTGGTATTCTATAGTTCTATGATTATTCATTTATGAGTTAGACCAATTTACAATAGAATAAAGGTAAAAGGTAAATAATGGGAGCAGCTGGTGCTGTGGTCTAAACCACTGAGCCTCTTGGGCTTGCCGATCGGAAGGTCGGCGGTTGGGGAGCATGGGGGAGAGGACAGAACCCTGAGGCACCCCACAAGTGAGAGCCCAGGGGTCTGAACACTCATCCCCCAACACCACTCTCTGGACACGGCCCAGGAGAAAGGAGCGGAACCACTGTATAACAGTGCCTTCAGCTCCCAGCCACTCTAGACGGTCCAGAAGGATGTTAGGGTTGGACTTCCGGGGTGGCGCCATCGGCAATGGCGGACTCCCTCTGAACTGGAGGGATTAGCTCTGCATGAAACGGGTCCTTTCTGCTACGGCGAAGCGGGGACCCTGTTAAAAATCACAGGCGGATGAAGCCTGTGACCGTGGGACTCGGCGGGCACCCTTAGCGCCCCCCCCAACCTGCAAAGGAACCCACTAACGGGCTCCGAAGTGAAGAGGGGGAAGTGGCACGGTGCTGTGAGTCAACTGCTATTTCCGTGGAGCGAAGCCGCATAGCCGTTGCCGGAGAGCGCTGCCTTTTTCCTGGGACAATTTGGCTTCTAAAATAAGCACCCGTGAGTACTTAAACTTTGAACAATTGGACTTTAAATAAGGACTTGAGAGCAGAAAGGAATTGGACTTAAAGATTTACTTCAATTTGGTACTGAAACGGGAAGGTCTAAACAGGAAGTCAGCCTTCCGTTTCTTTGTAGACAGAATAAAGCAAAGACAACGTAAACTAGAGCTTAGAAAATCGCTTCTAAAGGATTGGCTTTCATCATTTAAAATTGTTGAACCCCCCTTCGGCAGCAGGAGAAGAAGGGGGATCTTTTTTGGACTGTTTAAACCTGCAGAAGTGAGTTTAAAGTAAAGTAACTTTCCACCGTCCTGATCCTGGAGCGGGGTGTCAGGACTGACGTTTGAAGCTCACTGACCAGAGACAAACGTTTTTGACAGATAGTTAAAAGAAGAGAAACATAGTGATTCCATTGTTTCCTTTCGCACTTTAAAGGAACAAATATTGACCAAATATCTCAAAAAGGATACTTTGTTGCAAGAACAAATAGAAGTTCTCCCCCTAGAGGGAGACTGTGAAAATGTAACTAATTCTAGGGAGCTTGCAGCTGTCACAGATTACAATCGTGGGAATGGACTTGTGACCTTGTAGGACAATGTATTCAGAGGCTCTGTTGTGTGCTCTCTGTAAAATAAGTGCCCTACTGGAACAGTTAAGTGAGAAGATGGATTTGATGACTAATGCGGTCAGAATTTTTGAACAGGCAGTTGGAAACTATGTGGAGCCCACCCAGGAATCAGATCAGGAGTGCGTCCTGACAGAGCAGATGAGAGAAGAGGATGTTGCTGAATCTTGGGCGCCAGATATGGAGGGAGCTGCGGCCTTGCAGGAACATGAGCTTTTGGATTTGACAAATGAACTTGGAAAAAGCCAGATTTGGAAAGATAAAGTTTGGATTGGTTTGGAAATGGGGGGTTGGATAGACCCCCCTATGCAGGGATGTTTGGACTTTCCGAGTCTGGCAATGGGCCGTGAGATGTTTGGAGCTGTGGGGGCTCTCAATTTTGGAGGGATTCTGAAACATGTTTTTAAATACCACATGGAATTGAGTCTGGACTATGGAAAAGGGGCTGATTTGTTGAAAAGGGTCAAAAACATCACCAAGCTGGAGGTCCCATGAGTGAAAGGAGAATATGAAGAAGAGCTGCGGAAGGGACATGGAAGTGACTTAAGGGCCTCGGATATAAGGTTACCAGGTTAATGTGCTAGATTGATGAGAAAAAAGGACTGACAAAAACCGGGACCAGGAGGAAGGGACGCTGGATGAAGATTGGATTGTTTTTATTTCTTTTCTTCTTATTACCAGGATTGTTTTATAAAATGGATGAATGTTAGAAAAATGTTGGAACGAAATTACTTGGCTCTAGTAAAAATGTTTAAAGAATTAGGTAGAAATACTACGGTTGTGAGAAGTCGGTAAAAATAAGATTTAAGTTTAAGTTTTTAGGTTTCTATAAGACAAGATGAAAATAGATTAAGGTAATGTAAAGACAGAATATTATGAAATATGGAAAGGATTTGCTGCGATAATTATTAACTAGGATACAAAAAAAAGGGAGGAGGAGGAGGTCAAAGAAAGAAGGTAATGAGAGTTGAGGATTTGAGAATGATGGATTTGTTTTTGTCTGTTTGCGGTGTATTTTTGTTTTTTGAATTTGTATTGTTGGATGTGGTTTGTTTTTTCTTTGTTTTTTCTTTTTTCTTTTTCTGCTTTGTTTTTTCTCTGTAATTCAAAAAAATTTCAATAAATATCATTTAAAAAACAAACAAACAAACAGAAGGATGTTATGGTTGATGGTGTCAAAGGCCGCTGAGAAATCAAGCTGAACTAGGAAACAGCTCTCACCTTTGTCCCTAGCCCGGCGGAGATCATCGACCAGTGCGACCAAGGCAGTTTCCCACTGCCAGAGGATTGCCTCCTTCCATTCACCAGTTTGCCTCTTCCAAGTGGAAGAAACCTGGGCAGTGCTGAATGTCACATCCATTGTCAGGTGTGTCCTGTTGGAAACAGAAAAGGGCTTTCCCCTTGGCCTACCTTTATAACCACTTAGTTGCCAAGTGCTTTTGTGACATCACAAGAAACCCACAGCCAATGGCATCATCTTCATTGCTTTGAGCTTCACAATGGCAGGTGGACCTATCAGTGATTGTGTGCTTGTGTGCTTGCTTATTCGGGACACGGGTGGAGCTGTGGTCTAAACCACTGAGGCTCTTGGGCTTGCTGATCAGAAGGTCGGCGGTTTGAATCCCCACAATGGGGTGAGCTCCCATTGCTCTGTCCCAGCTCCTGCTGACCTAGCAGTTTGAAAGCATGGCAGTGCAAGTAGATAAATAGGTACCACTGCGGCAGGAAGGTAAATGGTGCCACGGTCCTCCGTGCACCAGTATCAGTTGAATCATGCTGGCCACATGACCTGGAAAGCAGTCTGTGGACAAACACTGGCTCTGTGTCTGAAGCGAGATGAGCGTTGCACCCCATAGTTGCTTTTGAGTGTACTTAGCTGTTCAGGGGTCCTTTAGCTTTATTTTTTTACAATAGAATACTAAATAGTAAAATTAGCTAAAATTATCTACAGTAGGAAGAATAGGGTGCATCCTGAAAACCACAACATAACTAAGCTGTCAAAGAGGTTACCAAAAGCTATAGAAGAAAGGAGCAAGACACACCCCTCTGCAAGGAGGGGATTCCACAGTTTAGGAGCTGCCGCAGAGAATTTCCTCTCCCAAACTGCCACCCTGCTGAAATGCCACCACTGTTATCTTAACACACAAGAGGATCTGTGAGTAAGAAATAGTCTTTCAAATATTTCAGAGCACGGTGTTGGCAAAACCATGTCATGTACAGCCAAGTATCTTTTACATTTACTGAACTGGCTTTGGCAATTAGTCTTTCTCTTCTCCTTCTGTTTTTTCTTTCTTTCTTTTTTCCCCCATTCTCAGGGCAGCTTCCATGGAGCATAGAGTCTTATTCAAATTGTCTGCTGAAGGGTTACCAACAGATGGAAAATAGCGGCTTTCCTGAAATCAGTGCTGAAAAGTCCTGCGCTTGTACTGGGCACCGGATTCGTTTCTTGAATGCATGGATAATATTTGACTGAGAGGCATGATTTGTAAAGCAAAAATAGGATTTTCACACCATAAGCTGCACCACAGGGATTTCAACTTTAATCTTCAATTCTGATAAGCTACTTCTGGCAAACATGTAGCTGTATTTTTCCCTGTGACTCCTAATTCCTTTGTATTAACAGATTACATACCATTTTATCATGGCTCCTATTATCTAGGCATTTCATTTACCATTAAAGTTTATGTAGTAATATACTGGGGGATTTCAGAACCTTACAAATCACTTACATGGTCCAGCTACAATTTTCACAGAAAGCTTTGGCGGACTGAGCTGTAATAACATGTATCGGGCAGGATAGGACAGCATCCAGCACTGCTGTTCCTTGAACTCTTGGATACTTGGAAAGGTTAGCAAAAATATCACTGTGGCTAAGTTATAATAAATTACAGCATTTAAGGTTGCTGTTCCAGAGGAAAGCAATGTGTTACCAAATGCTCAAATGTGGCTATTAAAGAACTATTATGGCAATTCAATTTTTGCTGGTGTTGATCTTTCAAACAGGCTATACTATTTGTAACAAATCCAGAAAGTCGGTAGTTTTTAATTCTTTTACGGGGGAAAAAACCCATCCATCTACTTTCTAATGTTTTGATATTGCCAACAATACAATTTTCAGTATTGAGAATAATTTGCCATTTTGTCATTTCTTCCTAACTAAGTTAATGGGCAGTAGAAAGGTGGTTAAGATTAAATATACCGGTAAGTGATTGTAAATTAATTGAAAGAGAGAGAGAAACTAGGGCTGTGTCTTATGTTTCTGTGACCCCCAAACCTCTGTGAAACAATAGGCCAGAAGAAATATTTAAGGTCAGCTGTGGAGACCTCAGGTCTTGAGGCTGTTTTGTTGGCTGAAAACAAGAAATTTATAATTTGCCAGAGGGCCTTGTCAGCAATAGCATCTCAGCTGTGGAACATACTCTTTGATCAGCTTTGATGGGCACCTTCATTGTCCATCAATCAGCACCAGCTAAATAGCATCCTCTTCTACTAGGCCTCATGAGCTGATGGTGTATGGGCATACTGGACATTGGGCAACATGGCCATGCTATTTGTATTATATTTAATGTATGTATTAGTGACTAATATTTTTACATTGTACTTTTGTATTTTGACTTTATTGGCTATTATATTTTTTAAAAAAAACACTTTGTGACCCACTCTGAGATTAATTGTGATGAAGTGCAGGATATACGTTTTATAAGTAAACAAATACATACATAAAAATAAAATAAAATAATAAATCATATGCATACCTACCTGGGAGAACGTCCCATCAAACCCTGTAAGAATGAGTTATGGGTAACAGTGCAGAGTTGTACGGTTAGTATCTAATTTTTCACATTGCTTATTCCAAGGAATGGGAGGAAAACTAGCAAAGGAGTGCATCATGGTTTCTGGCTTTTCCCCCATCCTTACATCTCTCCAAAAGATCTACAGATTAAATACATCATCATACTTTCCCTTTCAGACAAAAGACATTTTCTTTAAATTGGAAATGTCAAACGCAGCCAGAGGATGGATTTCTAACTTCCTATGCCATTTTCCTTTTTTTGTAATTTCCGACATAATAATGGTGAATCATAGGCTTGTAGTAAGGTTTTATCACTGTGTTTTCACAGTTGATAGAAGGCTGGTCCTTATCAAGGCCCGATAACAGATCAGCCTAATAATGCACCCACCTTTTTTTTTTGGACAACATGTGAGATGAAAAGGATTATCCAGTGTGCCTATGTTGGTATCATCACTGTCGCAGTAGCTGATTCTTAAAGTTTATCTGTCTTTGTCTATTAAATGCAGTGGGACTAACAGTGTGAAGTGTAGATATCAATATTTACAGGCGAGAGGGAAAATGTGGGGCTTTGAAAATAAGCCCAAACTCTACATCAGATGTCATGGGCTTTAGTCAATGAAATCTCGTGTCATAATAAATCTGTTAGTCTTTAGAGTACCAAAAGTTATAATGTGTGTGTTTGGAACTAGCCAACTTGATAACCTGATAACCAACTGTATGAAAGGGATCAGGTAGTCAGGGAAACTGATGTGAATCAGAAAAAGGAAGTCAGAAAATAACTGCTTTCAATATTCCAGAATCTTTGAAGACACTTAAAAAAGCTTTGTTTCACTTTATGCTGTATGCCCTGGGCTGAGCTTATGTTTATTTTTAACCTTATTGTATTGCACATAGATTTGAAGTCATCATAAAGACCACCACCACCACCATCATCACTCAAAGCTAATAGATTATCATTTTCATTATGTTAGTGGATGATTAAATAACATGTTTACATCTCTTGCATTATTTTACAAGACCCTTAACATCTTGGATCCAGGATACCTCAAGGACCACCTGATTCATTATATCTGATTCCTGAGGCCTTTCAGGAAGTCACAGTTAACACACCCTCCAAGTGTCCCTATTTTCCAGGGACATCCCTGATTTAGAGAAGCTGTCCCAGTTTCTGATTTGATCCCGGAATGTCCCACTTTTCCTTAGGATGCCCTGATTTTTATTGGAGAAATGTTGGAGGGTATGGAGTTATCCGACCCCTGAGCCATCTGAAGGCAATTCTGTATAAGGAATTTTTTTAAAAAAATTTAAAATGTTTTATTATGTTTTTATATGTGTTGGAAGCTGCCCTGGGTGGCTGGGGCAACCCAATAAGATGTGTGGGGTATAAATAGTAAAATTATCATTATGGAATGGGCTGTCCCTATTTTCATCAGATAAATGTTGGAGGGTATGAGTTAGTGGTCTCCTATGGCTAAGACCTCCATTGAGGTCAAACAGGCCCTCTCCTGTGCCTTGAGGGGTTTTGTAAAAATAAATAAATAAATAAATTCCGGCAAACATCTTACCTGAATTCTGATTTTACAGTTCTGATCTTTATATTTTGTACTGAGTTATTTGCACACTGTGTAGAGGCAATTCTAATTAGGTGGTATATAAATAAAATAATAAATAATAAACCTCTCCCGTTGAAAGTATAGGATTCAAAGCATGATCCTACCCCTGAAATGTTGGCTGGAGGCCATCAGATCCCAAAGATCAGAAGGCATCAAAACCATCTTCTTTCTACCATGCTTCAGGTTCCATCCAGAGAAGGTAAGATGCACATAGGTCCTGCTGAAATAAAGAGGTTAATATCTGACCATTTAATGAAGTCCCATGACTTCAATGAGATTTAAACATTAATTATTATTTTTTTATAAAAAGGTAAAGGTAAAGGACCCTGACAATTAAGTCCAGTTGTGAACAACTCTGGGGTTGCGGCGCTCATCTTGCTTGGCCAAGGGAGCCGACATATGTCTGCAGACAGTTTTTCCGGGTCATGTGGCCAGCATGACTAAGCTGCTTCTGGCGAAACCAGAGCAGCACACAGAAACGTTGTTTACCTTCCCACCACAGTGGTACCGATTTATCTACTTGCACTTTGACGTGCTTTTGACGTGCTTGGTCAGCAGGAGCTGGGACAGAGCAATGGGAGCACCAAATTTGCCATTTTCATAGCTGCTGCACATTAGTTCAATGTTTTCTTTGAGCGATCCGCCACTATCCCAAGGTCTCTTTCCTGCCCAGTTCCAGCCCCATCAGTGCAGATGTAATGTTAAAATTCTTCATGTGTACTGTTTTGCATTTACTTACACTGAACTGTAGTTGCTGTTTTAAAGCATTGTCACAGCATTTGGAGAGATTCTTTTGGAGCTTCTCAGAATAACGTTTTCATTTTTATCACCCTGAATCTTTGACTGTCATCAGCAAACCTGACCATCTCACTGTTGTTGTTGTTTAGTCGTTTAGTCGTGTCCCCATGGACCAGAGCATGCCAGGCACTTCTGTCTTCCACTGCCTCCCACAGTTTGGTCAGACTCATGTTTGTAGCTTCGAGAACACTGTCCAACCATCTCATCCTCTGCCATCTCCTTCTCCTTGTGCCCTCCATCTTTCCCAGCATCAGGGTCTTTTCCAGGGAGTCTTCTCTTCTCATGAGGTGGCCAAAGTATTGGAGCCTCAGCTTCAGGATCTGTCCTTCCAGTGAGCACTCAGGGCTAATTTCCTTAAGAATGGATGCGTTTGATCTTCTTGTAGTCCATGGGACTCTCAAGAGTCTCCTCCAGCACCATAATTCAAAAGCATCAATTCTTCGGCGATCAGCCTTCTTTATGGTCCAACTCTCACTTCCATACATCACTACTGGGAAAACCATGGCTTTAGCTATACGGACCTTTGTTGGCAAGGTGATGTCTCTGCTTTTTAAGATGCTGTCTAGGTTTGCCATCGCTTTTCTCCCAAGGAGCAGGCGTCTTTTAATTTTGTGACTGCTGTCACCATCTGCAGTGATCATGGAGCCCAAGAAAGTAAAATCTCTCACTTCCTCCATTTCTTCCCCTTCTATTTGCCAGGAGGTGATGGGCCCAGTGGCCATGATCTTCGTTTTTTTGATGTTGAGCTTCAGACCATCTCACTGCTCGCCCCCAATTGCTACTTAGAGTAGGTGCACTCTATATCTCACATCTCCATGTGTATTATTTTACATTTAGTTACACTGAACTGTAGTTGCTGTTTTAAAGCATTGTCACACCATTTGGAGAGATTCTTTTGGAGCTTCTCAAAACAGCTTTTTCATTTTTATCACCCTGAATATTTGGCTGTCATCAGCAAACCTGACTACCTCACTGCTCGCCCCCGATTGCTACTTACAGTAGGTGCACTCTATAATCTCACATCCTCATGACTGTAATGAGGAAAACCATATAAATATTAGCTCTGTAATTCACCCTGTCTGAAGTGCAGGTTTCTGAAAGGATTTATAATGCAGTAAGTTAGATTCCCCACCCCTACCCCTTTTCCTTTGCTTATGCTACCCTGGGCAGCTAGGGAAAGGGGAAGGGGAAGGGACCCCTGACAATTAAGTCCAGTCATGAATGATTCTGGGGTTGCGGCGCTCATCTCGCTTTACTCTCCGAGGGAGCCGGCGTTTGTCCGCAGACAGCTTCCGGGTCATGTGGCCAGCATGACTGAGCCGCTTCTGGCGAAACCAGAGCAGTGCACAGAAATACCATTTACCTTCCCACTGGAGTGGTACCTATTTATCTACTTGCATTTTTGGTGTGCTTTCAAACTGCTAGGTTAGCAGGAAGCATACAATAAGCTTAACCTACAGACCAGTCAAAAATACTTGATGAACCCAATCCTAAGAAAGTCAGTTTTCAGGTAGGCAACAGTATTTGAAATTCTCTAAGTAATCTTAAAGCATCCTTTCCCCTCAGCTCGTTTGGTTCAAATCTAGATGAAGCACATATTAAGTAATAGTATTGATTTATTTTGACTTTTTTTTACAGTTTATTAGCCACCACTGTTAAGCGGTTGTCCTGCACTTTGTTCTATAGTTTTCCATTACTTTTATTCCCAGAAATAAAACGAAACATGGATTTGTTGTGCAAGTTTGCTGCGGTGCCATTGCTATTTACTGCAATGTGCCCACTTTATTTATAAGGTATTATGAAGGTGCACTCTTATTGCATGAGGGGCATCTACCCAGCTCTTTCTAAATGGGTGTCGGATCTACACAGAAGTGTGACAGTTTAGAATAAAATAAAAAAAGGCCTGTTCTCATGTTATCACCCTCTGGACCTTGTGGAGAAGGTACATGAAGAAGGGCCTCAGATAATGATGTCAAAGTCTGGGTAGGTTCATATGGAAAGAGGCAGTCCTTGAGGTATTGCAATCCTAAGCCATTTAAGGCTTTATAGGTCAAAACCAGCACTTTGAATTGGGCCCAGAAACTAATTGGTAGCCAATGCAGTCGGACCAGGAATGTCATAATATGCTCAAACCATTTTGCCCCAATGAGCAACTTGGCCACTAAATTCTGCACTAGCTGAAATTTCCAAACAAGCATCAATACTGATTATTTTTATCTAGCATAATCTACTGTAAATACTTTTAGCCCACTGGCTTGGAAGTAATCCCCATCAGAGGTAGATTTAGGTGAGTGCTACAGGTTTGGTCGCACTGGGTGCAAAATTCTGGGGTGCCACTAGGGACACTGCAACTATGATTTAGAATGAAGAGGGTGTGTGTGTGCTGAATTTTGGCATCGCGCAGGGCACCACTGAAATTTGAGACCCCAAAGTCTGCCACTAGCACCATTGAATTCAATAGGACTTCTGAGTAGACCTGGTTCACATTGTGCTGTTAAGTCCCGCAGTTTTCAAAACTTTCAATTTTGAACACAAGAAGTCTGCTACTGTGTCCCCGTTGTACCAATGGAATTAAAAGCACACACCACCTTAAAGGATGAAGGTTTGCTATTATGCAGCAGCTAACCATGCTTTTAATTTGACAACGCACAGTGTGCAGGCTTCCTTTCTTCTTATTTAGATGTTTTTCTCTTGTCATTAGAAGCCAGCAATGGACATGAATGCTTTGTATATAATTATATAGCACTTAGAGGCACCAGATCCTGCCAAGCCGTTAAAATGAGACTTGCAACTTGATCAGAATATGTATCAGATTTTAAACCATGATTAACTTTTATTAACAAAGTATTCAACAACAAGAAATGGGACGAGATTGTCCTAGTGATATGCTCGTGTATTTTCTTTTCTGAATCATTTATCCCCTTCTCTAAAAGTAAGATGTTTGCTATCAACTCAGTAAAACACCACATTTTTCAGGGTGATTACTTTTGAATAATGACTGGGAACATGGTTCTGGATTTATCAGTCAGGTTTATAGAGAAAAGAAGTGGGCAAGCACTGGGCCTGATGGCATCAGAAATGAGTAAGGATTAATCTCATAGCCTATGTCATCCTCCCATTGTTTTTTGATTATGTCTACTGGATTAAGGTTACCAGATTTTTTTCAATGAATCCGGGGACACTTTTCAACTTCCTACTAAATAGATGGATTTTGTCAGGGGACTGATTTGTAAATCTGGGGACTGTCCCCGGGAAACGGGGATGTCTGGTAACCTTATACTGGAGGGGCCTGTCAGGAGTAAGCATAGACCAATGGTATCAAATACAATCGTACCTCGGGTTAAGAACTTAATTCGTTCTGGAGGTCTGTTCTTAACCTGAGGTACCACTTTAGCTAATGGGGCCTCCCACTGCCACCGCACCGCCACTGCGCAATTTCTGTTCTCATCCTGAAGCACAGTTCTTAACCCGAGGTACTATTTCTGGGTTAGCGGAGTCTGTAACCTGAAGCGTCTGTAACCTGAAGTGTCTGTAACCCGAGGTACCACTGTAGTATGGGAAACAGCCTTATTAGAAAAACTAACCAACAAACTGAAACTGACACAGGGACAAATAGAAGAAGACACCTTCACCCCGATATGGTTACCCTTTATCACATACACAGCCCATCAAGACAACAAGAAGAACCCACCAACAGCATTCGAATCAATCTGGCTAACCTGATCCAAACACACACACACATACCCCACACCCAAAAACAAAGCTCACCGCAGCCAATCAAAGACAACCAACCACACCCTAGACCAACCCCAGCCTCTCTCACCACCAAAGAAATACAACAAGCGAATAGTAAAGAGAACCCACACAAGTGAGGCTGACGCAAAACCCCACACATACACTAAGTAGAATAGAAGTATTGCCACCTCACTCACCGCTCGCCTCTTTCTCCCTCTTTCCCCCTTTTCTTCCTAACGTAACACTAATGTCTTGACAAATGAAACTGATCTGTAGAAAATGTAACTTGAAAAAAAGAGACATTGCACATACTTTTGTAAACCAAGAAATCTTTAATAAAAATATATTTTTTAAAAAAGAAATGAGTGAGGAGAACAGAAACAAAGGATAATAGTACACTGGAAGGTCCTTGCCGGTCACAAAGGAGTTTGGGTTTGGAGAGGTCCTTGCCGGTCACAAAGGAGTTTGGGTTTGGAGAGAGTTAATGCAGGATCTGTTTCAGGAGCAAATGGGAAGGTGATGATGCAAACAGAGGTACTGTACAGTTAAGGTTTATATGATCTGAAGAGAAACCAGAGTAAGGATGAACAGTTAAGAAGTGAGAACCAGAATGAGATTCGAGACATACCTGACTGTTTATTTATGCTACAACAGCTGCAAGGATGCTGCTTGCCTAGAGCTGGAAAGACGACAAGGTCCCTACCAGAGTGGACTGGCAGACGAAACTAATGGACTGTGCAGAGATGGCAAGAATGACTGGGAAAATCAGAAAGCAGGAGGATCAAAACTTCAAGAAAGAATGGGAGAAATTTATTTTATTTTTGACAGACCACTGTAAATACTTGAACTTTTTGGCAGGTCTTAAATAACTCTTGTAATATTACACAGTCTTTGGATACAATGGAGGATTCTAAAATTAGGAGGACTTGCAGTTGAAAAGTTTAACTAAAGAACCCAAGGAGGGGAAGAGGGAAGTCTAGAGATTCGGAGGAATCTTGTGTAATTTTTATTATTTGTGATTTTGAGTGTGAATAAATTTGTAAAACCAAATAAAAATCATTTTTGAGATTTAAGACATACCTTATTGTCAATTTCGGATTGAAATGGGTCCTTGATTTTCTAGGAGGTCGTCCGCACAATTCAGTTCCTAGAGGAATGCCCATCTTTCTCAGTGTACATCATCATTCACTATGTGGTATTGTATTTTACTCTTACTTAGATATTTGAAACTTTTGGTTTCGGCTTTCCCCCCTGTGCTCTACAAAATAGCTGACACAATCAGATAATTGGAATTTCTAGTATATTTCTTTATACATGCATCTTCTTATAAAAGTAGATTTTAGCAAGGCAAGAAAATATTTACAATGTAACAGTCCCTGCTTTTGTTAGCTGCATGTCTGGATTTACTATTACAAAGCTTCATAGTTCAGATACTACTAACAGCACAAGGAAGGCTGTGCAAGTCTACTCAGAAGTAAGCCTCATGAGGTTCAATGGAGCTTACTCCCAGGTAAGTATGTATAGGATTGTCACTTAAATTGAACTCTTGAAATTACCAAAATAATAAAAAAAAGTATACAATTTCATTAAGTCATATATGGTCTGCTTCCTAGAATTTCCAGAGAGATGGCCTTGTTCAGTCTATATCAGCAAAAAAAACCCAACCCAAACCAACTCAGAGAGCCTTGCAGCTCCTTAAAAGATGAAGATTTTTAAATAAAAATTATGGTATGCATTTTTGTTCACTGTTTTTCACTACGTTCTAGAAACTCTGTTATGTTTAAGACAGAAACAAAAATGTGGTTTTTTACATGCCTATAAGCTTTTCTTTGCTATGAAGCAATGATTATAGCACATTATTATTGCATTACATTACATCCCCAGGTGTCTCCAAAAGCCCTTACTTATTTATAAGGTTTTCAAGAGCGGTTTGGTCATCACATACCTCCAACTCAGGCAGCATTTTCAAACAGGACTAATCACAAGGTGAAATACAGGTGTACAGCAAAACCACTCAGATCCTGTTGATACCTAATCCATGGATTTTATATTTTCAATGAGCAGTGCCATTAAGCAGAGAACAAATTAGGCATCTCATTTTGCTAAAATTTGCTTTTTAGCACATATGCCATCTGCTCATCTTACTCCAAGAACAACAGACTGCAATTCGGCTCTTTAATTACAGCACTAATTATTCCAGTTAGTTCGTAGGTCCGTGTTTGTTTTTTTTAATGTAAAGCTTTTCAGATCGGGAGCTACACTCAAGGTTGTGGAAAGGCAGGAAAGCGAGGGAAGAATTGTAATTGCAACCAGGCATCAAAAATGGATCTGTGCTGATTTTAGCAAAGTAGCACCAGCAAGTCCCAACATGGTAGCATTCCGAACAAGCTGGGTAAAACCACAATTGCCCTGGGTGGAATGAAGTATGTGAATATCTAACGCTTCAGTATAACCAAGGCTTTTTAAAAGCCAGAACTCACTGGAACTCAGTTCTGGCCCCTCTCAGGTGGGCACCATTGCCATTGTAAGAGAAGAAGGGAGGTTCTGGAATCGCTTTCTAGAAAAATGGCACTGAGTCTTCACTGCTGTTGCAGACTCTACTGAATATGGTGTCTTCAACAACAGGCTCATCTGTCTGTAAAGCAAACATATGAATGGGCAGCTTTCAAGTCCTAACCCTGATGCCATACCCTCCAACATTTCTCCAATGAAAATAGGTACATCCCATTCCATAATGAAAATGTTACTATTTATACCCCACACATCTGACTGTGTTGCCTCAGCCACTCTGGGCGGCTTCCAACATATATAAAAAACATAATAAAGCATTAAACATTGAAAAATACTTCCCTATACAGTGGTATCTCTGGTTAAGAACTTAATTTGTTCCGGAGGTCCGTTCTTAATCTGAAATACCACTTTTGCTAATAGGACCTCCTGCTGCCGCCGCCCGATTTCTGTTCTCATCCTGAAGTAAAGTTCTTAACCTGAGGTACTATTTCTGGGTTAGTGGAGTCTGTAACCTGAAGCATCTGCAACCTGAGGTACCACTGTACAGGGCTTTGGATGTCTTCTGAAGGTTGTATAATTATCTCCTTGGCTCAGGGGTTGGATAACTCCATACCCTTCAACATATTTCCAATGAAAATAAGGACATCTTACCATACCCTCCAACATTTCTCCAATGAAAATAGGGACGTCCTAATTTGCCAGAAGTGGATTAGTCATGCTGGCACATGAGCTGTATGCCGGCTCCCTCAGCCAATAAAGCGAGATGAGAGTCGCAACCCCAGAGTCAGCCACGACTGGACCTAATGGTCAGGGGTCCCTTTACCTTTACCTTTTTAAGGAAAAGCAGGACATTCCGGGATCAAATCTGAAATCAGGACGGCTTCTCTAAATCAGGGATGTCCCTGTAAAACAGGGACATTTGGAGGGTCTGTGATAGAAGTGCATTGAACAGAACATTGGCAAGATGGTTGGTGCTCATACAGTTGTATGCATGGAGGTTCTCCATGCTAGCAGCTATCCTGATGACACAGGGCTCCCCTTGGAGTGCAGATCTTATCTGTGTGCAGCTGCATGTACATAACACACACACACACACACACACACACACACACTGTCCAGTGTTGTACATCTCAAGGTAGAGTGCTCTGTGAAGTATTTCAAATATGCTTCTACAACTTCAGGCTACCCATGATTCTAGCATTTGGGGAACAGAGTAATGAAATCCATAGCAATGTCATGCATTCCATCCTATGCAGGCTGACTTGCAACCTAAGGACATGCTGACTGCCTTTTCCCCAATAGGTAGGAAAGACTCTCTTAGGGAATGGGTGTCACGGTCCAGGTTACGGGCAGTCGGAGTCCTGGCTTGGTACGTCGGGACCGGGGTAGAGGTTGGGAAACAGGAATCAGCAGTCCAAGGGCCAGGAAGTCAAGAGTCCACGAGTCAGGAAGCCAAGGGTCCAAGAGTCAGGAAACTAGGAGCCAGGAAGCCAAGGGTCCAGGAGTCAGGATACCAGCAGTCAGGAAGCCAAGGGTCCAGGAGTCAGGCTACCAGCAGTCAGGAAGCCAAGAGTCCAGGAATCAGGATACCAGCAGTCAGGAAGCTGAAGCACAGCTAGGTGGGTAGCATGTTGCTGTGGCAAAGAGCCAGAGGGAAATGCTGGTCTTATATACCCCTCCCGGCCCTTGCCACCAGGTGCTCCGAGTCTTCTGTCAAGCCTCACCTGTGCGGCCGCACCTTGCCCTTCCAGGCCAAACTCAGGAAGACCCCAGTCCTGCGAGGCCCTACAAGTCACAGGGCCTGGCTCCTGCATGCACTCCTGACAATGGGTCATTGGGGAAGAAACAAACCCTTCAGCCTCCCTCTCGTACAGTAGTAATTTGTCCTCACTAATACCAAAGCAAAGCACTTTTCTGCAGTATTAGTGTGGGAGTAAACTACTGCTGAACCTTAAAGATAATTGGAAATGCAGCCTATATTAAAGGTCCTTCAAGGACTCATACTTTTCTTATTGATTTTAGGTTGCTTGGTTTTTTACAACTGGGTCCAATGAGAACAGAAGCACATTTTTTATGTCAGTTATTACCTTTTCCCTCCTTTCTTTTTTGTCCAGTCCTTTCTCATTTATTTTGCTTTTCAGGTTTTGCTTTGTTTTTCCTGGAAAAGTCCTGCTTTGTCATCAATCATGCTACTTTTTTTTGGCTCAACATGAAATAAAAGCCATAACGAGAACTGTAAGCAACAGTTATAATTAGGGCCCGGCCAGATATTCTACTGTTCAGATTTCGAGCACAGAAAAAGTGCTTTCTGGAAGGGTAAAATGTTGCCTCCAACAAATCTGGCTTCTCAGAATGGTTGTTCTTCTTTGGCCTGTTGGCAGGTTCCGTCATCAGCTGCTGCTGGTCCTCCCCTGTCTTTTTCCTTCACTGCATGTTCCCAGCCAATCAGGGAGCAGGTAGTGATGTCACAATGCTACATAGTCACTAAGATATAGCCATGTGCTGACTTCACTGAGAGCTAACTGAACCAATTTAGAGTGAAAGCAAAACTTCCTGGACTGGTTGAATCTGTGATCCTAGCCCATCCAGAAGGCAGTGACAAATGAAGTCTCTGCAGGACAATATTTATTGAATAAGCAAATGTATTTCATACAGCAATGTATGAAAGATTGCTGCAAGAAGGCACCTCTCTGTACTGATGAACTTGTTATCAAAAATCACTCATCCTTGCAAGTGAGCCCCAGTTATGATTGATTATGCAATAACAGCAATCCATAACAATGATAAAAAATAGAGTGTGCTTGAAAAGAATAAACACTAGTCATGGTGCTACCAAGCCTGCAAACAGAGCAATGAGATAATGAGTCATTCAACATGATTTCTTAGGGTTTGCTTGTTTTTTAAGAGAACTTTCAGCCTTATATAGTTCTGGGGCCGCTGGACTCTTCTCTGCCTGCTGTTGCTATCCTTTGCTGAAATCCCCACTAGCCTCAGATCTCTTATGCTTCAGAAACAAGTAGTGCTTTCTTACAGAGCTATATACTGATGCTCAATGGTGATGGTATCACAGCCACTAAGAGATGCTTGATCAGAGTCCTATGCAAATCATACTATTATTTTATTCTCCTGTGTGCTGTCTCCATTCATACACTATGAGCACAGCCTAGATAATAATCTGTGATCAATAATTTATGTAACGGGGTGAGTCTCTCTTTCACACCAACATCCTCACATCCATGAATTATTCACATTTATTTTATAATAGCTTTTCATTTGTCTAACCCCATGGCATTAAAATACATACATGGTGAGCAAAATTTCACAGTCTGTCTTAAAGTCATGGAACCTAGAAGTTAATCCGCTGTTGACAAGTCTGGGTCCATCTTAAACTCAGGCTTAAGTGAAGTGCACTGTGATCCAAAACATTTTACTTAAAAGTAAGTTCTGTTGTGTTCAGCATCAATCTAGATTCTGCCTTGAGTGCATACACTCCAATAAGATCACAACTCATTACCAGCATGGTCATAGGATTACAGTCTGAAGAAATATTTATGGAACATGGAAACAAAGGATCTACTTAAATACTGAAATTGAATCACACAAAGACCAGGCAAAGCGAAACTATCATTTTATCCAGTCCCCTGCCTCAAAGCAAAAATCCTATACATATGACCTTCTCACTCAGTGATTGTCTAACTGGTCCTTGGTTGGTGCCCTCCAGCTGTTGTGGACTACAACTCCCACCAGCCTCTGCCACATGCTGCCTTGGGCTTATGGGAATTGTAGTCCAAAACAGCTGGAGGGCATCAGGTTGGGGAAGTCTGGTCTAAACTTTTCTTCAGAACCTCCCAGAAAAAGAGATCTCACAACTCTTGGAAAAGCTAGAACTGTCCCAGAGATGAACTACTCAGCAATTCTTCTTACTGTTTAGCCTAATTCTAGGTCTCCTTTCCTTTAAACCAATTTATTCTCATCTGGTCTTCAGTGAATAGGGTAAACTTTTCCTCCCTGTAAATATTTGATTATTCTGGATCCTCTTATCATCATGGAAGCTCTCCTATGAATAGTTTCCAGTTCATAAGCACATCTGCCTAGAATGGAATTGAACTAACTAAACCAGAATGGAATAGCTCCTGCCTGTCTCCTTCAATGGGTGCTTCAGTCTTGCAGGGCAAGCAGACAGCATATGGCCCAAGTGAGGACTGAGAAGAGAGTGAGCAGAAACAGGACCATGGACAGCTCCAAGACGCCCGGTTGACTGCAGCATTCTCCTCCCGAGGCATCTACAGGTGTTTTTGCAGAGAGCTAGAACCAACTAAAAGCCTTATGTAGAGTAGGAAGACCTGAAGTGTGGTAGACTCCATCTCACTGGTGGAGCTGGCTAGCTGGCTGAATAAAGGACCACAACCTTATTCCATTGTCTTGGACTTCTGTTAGGCTGCAAAGACCAAGGTATTCCAGGGACACATCTCCTGAGTCAGAAGATGGTACTGAGGCTTTGTTTTGTGGTCCGTCACCCAGGAAGTGGCTTGATCACTATCCACATCAGAGTCCTCCATTGTGCAGTGTACCTGAAGTTGCTTTGGGGTTTTGGCACACATGACATAATTGACTGATGACATTCTTGGCAGTATCTGGTGTGATGGCCTGGGATTCGGACTCGGAGGCTGAACCTGAGGAATCCCAGCCTGCACAGGAGTCCCCGCCTCCAGAACCAGCTAAGCCAGGGCTGGGGCTTGAGCCTGAAGGGTCCTCACCTGTGTTGGATCCTCAGGTGCAGGCACCAGCTGAGTCTGCTCTGGCTCCTGAAGTGATGGAGGACCCATTGCCTTTAGGTGCTCCACTCTCAGCCCCGTCAGGGGAAGCTGAGGTTGCCTCTGGGCCTGGTAACCCTCCAGCCTCTCCTGAGCTGCAGAGGCTCAGGGCAGAGAGTCTGAGGAAACTAAGTTCCCACAGGAGGAGTGCTCGCCTCCAGGCCAGGAGAGGCGAGTCACCTGTGGACCGGGGCCGCCCTATGCCTCGGGGCAGATAAAAGCCAGCCAGTCCCAGTCTCAGGTCGCAGGAGCAACATTGTTGGTAGCCTGTTCCTGCCTGCACCCTGTCCTGCTCTTCTGCCAGAGTTCCTGACCTCACCCGACTCCCTGCCTTGGACCCCGCTTCAGCTTTGACGGACAGCCTCCATACCGCACCCTCGACCTCGGACTGGACTCAGACCTCGCCGCACGGTTAACCCTTGGGACCAGCACATCTGGGATCAATTAGGCTTTAGATATATGAGTATGGATAATACCGTACTCTGGATCCTTCAAATTTTAATCTATCTGAGCAACCCCCCCCCAATGGATGTCAGGGACACAAAGAGTTCTAACACCTTAGAGACCAACTAAGTTTCGTGTGCATGCACACGAAAGCTCATACCAATAACAAACTTAGCTGGTCTCTAAGGTGCTACTGGAAGGATTTTTTAAATTTTGTTTCAACTACAGCAGACCAACACGGCTACCTACCTGTAACTAGTTCTAACACTGTAACTTGCGATGTCCAATGCAGCTGAATGTCAGAAGATTTAGGATAGATAAAAGAAAGTACTTCTTCATGTAGTGCATAGTCAAACAATGGAACTTGTTCCCCCTGGAGGCAGTGATGGCCACCAACTTGGAGACATTACAAACAAACATACGTACATAATTTTATTTGTATGCCACCTTTCCATAGTTCAAACCATGCTCAAGGCAGCTTTCAAGATAAATACAACACATAATTACAATATAACACAAGTAGTCATAAAGAATAAATGAAACATCGGACAATACACAATCAAAGTGAACAATTTCCGGCCAAATCCAAACAAGATAATAAATATACAATAAAGATGTAATAAAGATATAGAAAATTAATATTAATCAACAGCAACAACCTGCCACCAAAACCCCCCCTAAACAGTACCCTAGGCCAAGAGTCTTTTAAGCAGCCTCAGCTTTTATAGCTAGTGTCAGGCTTCAGGGAATTGGCTTCCTCCCCCCGTGGCAGTAAATAAGCAGATCAAATGAAAGGAAAGTTTTATCAGTTAGTTTCTTTACTAAACACAGCAAGAGACAAAAGAAAGCATCTCTCTAGAATGGCGGTGCTTCCAATTAAGGCTCACCCCCCTCTGTCCCTATTAACTTACATCACCCCTACGTCTCGTAATCTGAGTTTGTACCCTCTGTGCTTCCTGTTCTGAGACTTTGAGCTCTTCTTGACCTTGGGGAGGGTGGTGGAGGAATGCTGCCCAACGACCGTGAATCTGTTAACCCTCTCTCTTCCAGTGTTTCTTCTTCTAGCTCTTCCCCATCTAGCATTTCCCAGCTTCTGCCTTCTGAACTATGCCCCTCTGCAAACCACTGTTCTAAATCTATACTGTCCTGCTCCTAGGAAGATTCAGGGTCAGGGGGAGGCCCCCACCACTCCTCCTCAGTGCAGTCCTCCTCAGCACTGTCCCTGACAGCTAGAGTCAGTCACAGTCCTGCCCTCCCCAGCCAGGTGGAAAAATGGCCAGCAAGGCAGGGAGCAGGTCTTCCAGGACTCACAGCTTTAAAAGAGGATTGGGCAAATTCATGGGGAGGGGGAAGGCTATCAATGGCTACTAGGCATGATGACTATATTCTGCTTCCACAGCTGGAGGCAGTAATGCTTCTGAATACCAGTTGCTGGAAACCACAAGAGGGAAAAGAGCTCTTGTGCTCATGTTGTGTTCGCTGGTTTCCCAGAGGCATCTGGTTGGCCACTGTGAGGCCGGAATGCTGGACTAGAAGGGCCATTGGCCAGTCCAGCAGGCTCTTCTTTGGTTC